CCCAATGGCGGTGCTGCTCGACAGCGGGTGCTCCCACCACCTGATGGGGACGAAGGCGGTCTTCGTCGACATGGTGCCGAGCGAGGGAGTGAAGCACGTGCGTGGATTCAACGGGGCACTGCAGCCTGTCGAGGGTCGCAGAACCGTCGCTCTGCAAGGGGGGGCCGGGAAGTAGGTCCTCATCCCCGATGTGCTCTACGTTTCGGGCGTACAGGTGAACCTGCTGTCACCTGGCCAACTAAAGGAGAGCGGAGTGCAGCTGTAGGGCGACGACGACGAGATGCTGCTCGTCGCCGCGACCGGGGAGGTGCTCGGTCGAGCACGCTACACCGGCCGGGTCCTCTGCACCGACCTTCGCCCCTACTCGACGCGGTCGCCGTCGACCGAGGTGGTGGCTCTGCGGACGATCGTCTCGGCGATGACGTCGACCGCTGACCGGTTGCATGCGAGGCTCGCGCACGTCAGCGTCGACACGATCAAGCGCTCGGCGAAGCATGGCGTTGTTGTTGGGCTTGACATCACGCCGTCAACCGGAGCAGACCCGCCGTATGTCTCGTGCGTTGGAGGAAAGCTGGCGCGGCACACCTTCCCCGACAAAGGCTCCGACGCCGAGGAGGCACTTGCTGTCGTGCACATTGACTTGTGCGGGCCATTTCGGGTGGCTGCCAAGGATGGCAGCCTATACTTTCTGCTGCTGAAGGATCGCCATACTCGGTTCGTGTGGGCAATGTCGGTCGCTAAGAAGAGGGACGTGCTGCAGGAGTTCCCGAAAGTGGCTGGTGCTGGTGGAACGGCAGACAAAGAAGTCTGTGTTGTCCCTTCGCTCCGACCGGGGAGGGGAGTTACTCGGGAAGGATTTCACCAACATCGTCGACGGGAAGGGCATCGTCCGCAGCAAAACGGCATGGCTGAGTGGGAGATGCGCACGGTCGTCGAGTCCGTGCGGACGATGCTGCTTCACATGGGCGTGCGGCACCACTGGTGGCACCTCGCTCTTCGACAGGCTGTATGGGTGCGCAACTGCTTGGAGCGGTCGACGACGCCGCCGGGGACGATGCCGTACCAGCTGCTGACCGGGAAGAGGCCCGACCTCACGTTGGCGTGGGTGTGGGGCTGCATGGTGCAGTTCATAATTCCCGAGCAGCAGCGCGGTGGGAAGCTAGCGCCGAAAGCCCGCTGGGGGCTTCACCTGGGTGTGTCGCCAGAGAGCAAGGGCTGGGAGGTGCTCCACCTGATCGAAAACAAGGTGGTCACGTCTGTCGAGGTGATCTTCTACGAGACGCTGTCGCTCGAGGTGTGGAAGGCGAAGTATGGGCCGCTGTCGGGGCGGACGCAGGCGCACCTGCCGATGGACACCTCAATGGCGACGGTTCCATTGCTCGCCGACGTCGACGAGCCTGCTGATGAGGATGTTGTGGAGGTTCTTCCACCTCCCCCTGTTCTTGCTCCTCCCTCCCCCGTCGCAGATCGGCCTGCGTCGACGCCTGTGTCGGCCGCCAGCGATGAGGGGAGCATTGAGGCGTCGCCTGTGGCGCCGACCAGTGGCATCGCCGGCGGTCGACAAGACGCCAAGCTCGTCGACCAGGATGGGAAGCCGTCAACGATAGGGGTGCAGCAGACAGGGGAGCCGGTCGAACAGGAGGCAACAGCAGGGATGCACCCCGACAGGGGAGGAGCAGCTGGGGCGGTCGACAGGGGAGCTGTCGAAGTCAGAAGGACGAGAACAACCGGTCGACGGGTCGAAGCAGCTGGTCGATGACGAGGATGTCGACGAGGAAGGGGAGCAGACAGCGGGTGAGGAGTCCACCGACAGCGACGTGGTGGAAGTACCGATCACGAAGCCTGAGCTGCGACGCACAGGTCGAGCTCGACAGCCGCTGGAGCGGCTGAGCTTCCACGCCTGCCTACCGTCAGCTGCATTCATCACGGTGTACGACGAGGTCGACGACGACCTGTTGTACGACGACGCCGAGGAGGATGAAGAACTGCCGGAGCTCGACCCCGACGTGCATGTCGACCCCGAACACCGCTGGGACATCGCCACGATGACGGTGAAGGAGGCGCTGGCGAGCTAGAAAGGCGAGGCGGTGAAGGCCGCCATGGAAGAAGAGATCCGCATCCTCATCGGCATGGGCACTTGGGAGCTGGTCGAACGCCCACGCGGGGTGAACATCATGAAGAACCGGTGGGTGCTGACGACCAAGTACCGCATCGACGACACCGTCGAGCGCGAGAAGACGAGGCTGGTCGTGAATGGCTTCACGCAGGTGAATGGCGCCGACTACGACGAGACGTACTCGCCCGTGAGCAGCTACGTCACGCTGAGGATCTTCCTCAGCATCGTCGCCGTTCTCGACCTCAACCTGATGCAGCTCGACATGAAGAACGCTTTCCTGCACGGCAAGCTCGACAGGGTGCTCTACATGTACCAGCTGGACTACTTCGACGATGGGACCGGCCGGGTGTGTAAGCTGCTGAAGAGCCTCTATAGGCTGAAGCAGTCGCCGCTGCTGTGGTACAGGGCTCTCGACGGTGTGCTGCTGGGCGCTGGCTGGAAGAAGAGCCAGGTCGACGAGGCGCTCTACCTCAAGGCCGGCGACGACCGAGCGAACTTTGGGTGCTGGTCTACGTCGACGACCTGCTCGCCGCCAGCAGCAGCACCACGATGCTGAAGAAACTGAAAGAGCTGCTGGAGGCCGCCTTCGAGCTGCGTGAGATCTCGCCGGTGGTGAAGTACCTTGGGCTGGAGATTGTGCGCGACAAGCCGGCCAGGAAGCTGTGGCTGCACCAGCAGGGCTACGTCGACAAGCTGCGCAGGACCTTCATTGACGAGGAGCAGGGCGATCGAGTCCCGAAGACGCCGGTCTCGGTCGACGCCTATGCTGAGCTGACGTTCGACGACGAGGAGGATGAGTACCGGCAGAAGGTTGGCTCGCTGCAGTTCGAGGCGACGACGACGAGGCCGGACATCGCGTTTGCCTGCAGCAAGCTGGGGAGCGGAGTCACGGTGAGGAGCGACCAGCATTGGTGCGAGGTCGACCGCTGCCTCGTCTACCTCGCTTACACCCGCGACACCGCCTTGGAGTTCGGCGGTGGACCAGAGTCGCTGGAGCTGATCGGCTACATGGATGCCGACGACGCGGGCGACAAGCAGAACCGGACAAGCACGAGAGGCTACGTGTTCTTCTACGGAGGGGCCGCCGTCTCTTGGTCATGCTCGCGCATCAAGTGCGCGACATTGTCGTCGACCGAGTCGGAGTACGTGGCGGCCACGGATGCAGGCAAGGAGGGACGCAGTCTTCGTTTCCTTCTTGCGGAATTCAAGCTGCTCGACGCCGGGAAGCTGACCATCCTCTGCGTCAACAACAAGTCAGCGATCACGGTCGCTGAGGGCTTGGGGCTGACGGGTAACCTCAAGCACATGGAGCGACGCTACGCCTGGCTGCAGCACATGGTGAGGCGCTGGAAGTTCGTGCTGAAGTACATCCCGACCACCGAGCAGCCGGCGGACTTCCTGACGAAGGCGTTGCATTTTTCGGCTTTCAACCGGTGCTCTGTCGCCATCGGCCAAGTTCGTCGGGCCGACGTCGGCGACGGGGACGACGAGGTGTGGCAGTAGGTGCCGTGCCCTTCTGCACGGCTAGTGCGGTGACGGCGTGCTGTGTGTGGATTGCACGCCGAGGATGAGTTTTCTCCGTGGAGTACTGCCGTGTGGGCTGGAGGCCTGAGCGTGAGCGCGGTAGGGGAGTGTTAACAGAAATGGAGTGTTGGCCCCGCCTTCGCTTGGGCAACGCCGACGATTTGGTCGGATGTACGGGAGTAGCAGCCGACCGTTCACAGTGGGAGAGCTGCTCGACATGAGAAACTTAGAACGAGAATGAATTGACTAAGGAATGAAAGTGATACAAATATGAAACCCTAGAATTGTGTACCCCTTAGTATCTAACCCACTACACCCTACACAGGCTAGATCATATAAGTTTGACACACCCCCATAGGCAAAGTGGGGGAGAACAAGGGGTCACAAGACCAGTCAAGCAAAGCAAGGCAAAGCAAGCTCAGGGTGGATCACATTGTCACCACACATTCTGAGCACAAGTTCAAGGCCACAAGGCCAGTTCACATGCATGAGTACACACATATATATAACGCTAAACAAGCAAGAGCAGGTATATATATATGTAACAGTACAAGCAAGGTCAAGAAGTGAGCAAGTGAGGCAAGGTAGGTACAAGACCTAACAGAGTACAGAAGCGCTGATGGTCACAAGGCGCAAGTGCCTTGGTGAAGATATCAGCAGTGTTGGCCTCAGAGGCCACGTAAGCAAGGCGCAGCTGACCGCGCTGCTGCAGCTCACGAGCAAGGAAGTAGCGAAGAGCGATGTGCTTTGTTCTGTGCTCCAGTCTGTGCTCCCGACACAAGGCCAGCATAGCCTTGTTGTCTATGTACAGAACTGGAGGAGAACGAGGCGGCTCTCCTAGGTCAGTCAGCAGGTAGGTGAGCCAGCGTAGCTCCTGTGCAGCCATGGCCCCTGCGTAGATCTCAGCCTCACAACTGGAGCCGAGAACAGAAGACGAGCGGGTAGACCGCCACGAAACAGAGCCGGAACCAAGGCTGAAGGTGTAACCCTGTGACGACCGCTGCGTAGCCTGGTCGTCAGCCCAAGAAGCGTCTGCGTGACCAGTGAGGACCACTGGACTCCGCCCTCCAAGCACAAGCCCCATGCCCGACGTACTGCACAAGTAGCGCAACACCCTCTTCGCTGCAGCCATGTGCTCTGGTCTGTGTCTCCCAGGAGCAACATAGCGTGCCAGAATGCTAAGAGGGTATGCAAGGTCAGGTCGAGTGCAGGTCATCAGGTACATGAGGCAGCCAACAAGCTCTGGGTACGGGCCACTCGACTCTACGGACTCATCCGAAGGCAGAGCTGAGAGCGAGTGGCGAGTAGACAGAGGAGTGGCCTGAGGCGAGGAGTACGTGAAGCCGAAGCGCTGAAGGACCTACTGCACCATGTGTGACTGAGTCAGGGTAATGGTGCGCTGTGCTCTGTCCCGGGTGATCTGCAAGCCAAGGTAGCTGCGCAGTTCACCCAGGTCTGTGCACGTGTGTCTCTTCTGCAGCTCAGACTTCACGTGGGCGAGTCCAGTAGTGTCAGCTGTGGCAAAGACCAAGTCGTCGACGTACACGAGGATGTAGAACGGCGGCAAAGAAGTGTCGGTGCGCAGAAACAGCGACGGGTCGGCAGTAGAAGGAGCAAACCCAAGAGTCGCAAGTGTAGTCCTCAGTGTGTTGTGCCACTCACGAGGTGCCTGGCGGAGACCGTAGACTGGCCGCCGGAGGCTCCACTGGGTACCAGGAGGAAAATACCCAGTGAAGCCAGGTGGGCGGCGCAGCCAGATCTCCTCGTGCAGGCTGCCCTGCAAGAAAGCAGTGCTGAAGTCAAGAGAGTGAAGCTCGTAGTCACGGTGAGCGGCTATGTGCAGCAGTACCCGAAGAGTGGTCATCTTCGGGGTGGGAGAGAAGGTCTGAAAGTAGTCAACTCCCTGCCGCTGACTGAAGCCACGAGCCACGTAGCGCGCCTTGAAGACAGGCGGAGAACCCATCGGCCGCTTCACCCTGAAAATCCACATGCCACTGACGATGTTCGCCCCAGGAGGGGGAACCTCGTCGACGTAGGTGCCTGTGGACTTCCAGGAAGCCATCTCTGCATCCATGGCTGCCTGCCACTGAGAGGAGTAGGGACCCTCTATCGCCTCCGCGTAAGAGCGCGGAGTCGGAATGTCTGGTGCATCCGGGTCTCCCTCAGGGGCAAGCAGCATGGACACGAGATGAGGTGAAGCAGCAGCAAAGCACTGGAACTCCTCCTGCCTGTCCTCAAGGACGTCCATGCCAAGGGCACACTCACCCCCGACGGACGGAGGACAGACAGACTCAGACTCAGCGACAAGACTAGCAGCGTAGTCTAGGCGACAGCAAGCAGCGAAGTCGACAAGCTCAGAAACTAAGGCAGACGCAGCAGCGGACTCAAAGGAAGGGTCAGTGAAGATAGTAGCAAGGAGACGCGTGACAGTAGGACTGGCAGCACAAAGGGAGTCCGACTCCGGGTCAGCAAGAACAGGAAGAGAGGACTCAGGAGGAGAAGGCAAAGGGGCACGCAGCGGAGCAGTGGAGGGACGCAGAGACATCCGGTGCATGCCGGGGACAGGGGGAGGACGCTGACGCGAACCACGACTACTAGTGCGAGCAGCACGGGCAGGCGACGCAGGACGAGACGCAGGCTCACGACGCTCAGCAAGACCTCCAGTAGGACCAGTGTAGGGAGAAGGAGTAGGCAGAGGAGAGGTAGGCTGTAACTGTGACTCGGACTGGACAGGCGGTGGACACTCTAAGGGAGGAGCCGGACTAGCAGAGGGCGGAAGACCAAGAACCTGCTCAAGGAGCGGAACGAAGTACGGTCGCGGCCGCTCAGCACCACCAGCACCAGAAGGGACAGCACCAGCACCCCGAACGACAGCACCAGCGCCAGCAGCACCCCCAGCTCCAGCAGTGCCAACTCCAGTACCCTCAGAGGCACCAGCACCAGAGGCACCCTCAGCGCCAACACCCCCAGCAGCTCCAGCTCCAGCCGGACCACCAGAAGACGCAGCGGGTCCAGCTCCAGCACCCTCAGTAGCACCGACGCCCGCAGCACCACCAGCTCCAGTACGAGAAGCACCCGCAGGCCCAGCAGCTCCAGTACTCCCAGTACGAGCACCTCCGGGACCCGCGGCACCAGCACCCTCAGCAGCAGCAGAACCTCCAGCTCCCGCAGCACCTCCAGCTCCAGCAGCTCGCCTCCAGCGCCGGGCAAACCACTCACGCAGCTCCTGTGGAGAGAGTAGCTCCCGCCGGGACGAAGCACCCGAAGAACCTCCAGGCCCAGCACCGCCAGACGCCACACGAGCAGGTCCAGTACCCTCAGACTCCGCACCCCCAGACGCAGCACCCCCAGGCTCAGCACCCCCAGACGCAGCACCCCCAGGCGTAGCACCCCCAGGCGCAGAACCCCCAGGCGCAGCACCCCCAGAGTCAGCACCCCCAGGCTCAGCACCCCCAGAGTCAGCACCCCCAGACCCAGCACCCGCAGGCTCAGCACCCCTAGCAGCACCAGAGTCAATAGCTACCTCGACAGGGTCGACTGCGTCTACCTGAGACACACCTGAGGGGGTAGGACCCTGAGGGGGGAGGGGGTCTACCGGAGGGGGACCTGGCGTAAGGAAGAGCGGCGGGGGGGGGAGGGACGCAGTGCGGTAGGGGAAGAGACGGTAGTAGGGAACCGACTCGTCAAACGTGACGTCCTGGGAGGACAGAACACGGCGCGAGGTGGGGTAGTAGAACTGCCAGCCCGGCGCGTCAGGGGGGAAGCCAAGGAAGACGCAGGGAACAGCACGAGGGGACAGCTTGTCCGCAGACAAGTCGCGGACAAACGCCCGAGATCCCCAGACACGGAACGCAGACGCATCGCCAACCTTCCCCGTCCACAGCAAAGCAGGGGAGGTCTCCGGCATGGAGACCCGGGGCTGAAGGTTGATCTGATGCGCCGCGTACCGAACCGCAAACGGCCACAGAAAATGGGGGGCAGCCGCATGGACCATGGACGTACAAGCGATGTCCATGACCATGCCAATGCGGCGCTCAGCAATCCTGCTGCGGAGAGTCCGGAAGCGTGAAGGTCTGGCGGATGCCTCGTGCACGACAGAAGGCTCGCAGAAGGTCAGAGGAGAACTCTCCGCCTCTGTCAGAGTGCAGACGCAGAACAGGAAAGTCCGAGCCGAAACTCTCTCTGAGCTGGAGACGAGCTGCGCGGATCCAGGCGATCAACACCTCAGTGACCTCACCCTTGCTGCGCAAGGGGAAGACTGCGGTGTAACGCGAGTAGTCGTCAACCACCAGCAGGAAGTAACGCTCGTGACCCTGTCCACGGACGCGGGCTGGGCCCCACACGTCCATGTGAAGCATCTGCAGCGGAGCCTCTGTCGGAGGAAACTCGGAGGAGTGAGGAGCAGCGCGCTGCCGCCCCTCGACGCAGGGAACGCAGGTGGGGGCAGGCCCCGGAGGAAGGGGAGGGAGGGACCGGGGGAGACCAGAGACAAGGACACGGGAGGCCATGCCTCGAAGACGAGGCAGGGAGGGGTGACCAAGGCGGTGGTGCCAGAGGAGAGTCTGGTGAGACAGGAGACGACACGAGCAGGGGGCACACTCAGGACCAGACCTGGACGCCGCAGCAAACACCTCACCCGACGCGGCTACCTGAGCAGACTCAGCGACCGGAGGAGACTCAGTAGTGAGTGTGTACAGGCTCGACCCCGGCTGACGGGTAAACGTGGCCAAGTGACGGCCCGTCCGAGCAAAGGTACAGTGGGTCACTCGCTGACTCGCAGGAGTGAACTGGTGAACCCCTCCATCCTGGAGGTCAGCACCACTCACCAAGTTCGTAGAGAACGAGGGGAGGTAAAGACCCGACAGGGTGCCAGAAGGGGCCGCCGGACACGGTAGAACAGTGGAGAAGTGGGCAAGGACAGGACCCCCAGAGGGGTCTGCCAGGGAGACTGCCACTGGCCGACTAAGCGGCGTAAGCGTGGTGCGGTCTCGAAAGAAGGAGCGGGAAGCACCCGAGTCAAGGGTGAAGGTGTGGGTGGCCGGAGCCGACGCGGTACCTGAGAGCGCAGACTCACCAGCACCTGGGGCAGCAGACTCACTAGCACCTAGAGCAGCAGCCTCACCAGCACCTAGAGCAGCAGCCTCAATGCCCGGGTCAGGCGGAAAACACCGGTAACAGTCACCCTCATCACTAATAGTCACAGCATACATTGCAGCAAGAATAGCATCATAATCAAGATCAAAGATCGCAACACCCGCCCTAAACAGCTCGCCCCAGCGAGGGATCTCAGTAGCGTCGGGGAACTGATGACGCCAAGCGTCCGTCAGGCGGCCGAAGCAGCACTGGGTGGAGTGCGGACCCCGACACTGCTCACCCGTGCGGTCGCCTGTACGTAGAACGTAGGTACAGGGGCCAGCACCCCCACCCCGCTGACGAGCAATGTACCACTCACGAAGCTGCTGGGGGGAAGGGGTCTCACGAGTGCGCTGCTGCCGCTGCTGCTGGCGCTGACCACCACCGGAGCCGACCCTCTGCGAAGAGCCGCCCCGACCAGCTCCACCTCCGCCGCCGCTACCTCCACCACCGCCTCCACCTCCACCACCTCCGCTCGCACCGCCACCACCGCCGCCTCCTCCGCCTCCACTGCCGCCACTAGTGCCCCCACTCCCGCCACCACTCCCACCGCCACCCCCACCCCCTCCGCCGCCTCCACCGCCGCCTCCACCGCCCCCGCCAGCTCCTCCAGCGCCCTTGCCCCCCTTGCCCTTGCCTGATCGGCGTCTCCCGCTAGGGGCAGACGCCGCGCCGACTGACTCAAGACCAACGAGGTCGGCCGCAGCAGTAGAGGCAACAGAGGGCAAGAGGGGGGAGGGGGAGCACCCCTCAAAGACAGGGGTACGAGGGTCACCACGAGAGGCTCCTACAGCGACTATACTCTTTTCTGCTGCTAGGAGGCGCTCCTCGAGGAGGTCAACGGTGAGGGTGGTGGGGCAAACAGAGAGGAAGTGGTCCCTGACCGAGCGAAGGGTGTCAGGGAGCCGGGTGACTATGTAGTAGAGGGTGATGTACATAGGGGGGGTGTTCTTGGCGCAGAACTCAGCAGGAAGCGCAGCGCGGTAGCGGGTGTCACTAGTGCGAAGGTGCGTAATGAGGACAGCGACTGTGGGAAAAGCGGCGAGGTCAGGGAAGAGGTACGGCAGTATGAGGCGGCTAAGGGCAGCAATGGCAGGGGAAGAGTAGCGTGCAACAACAGCGTCGTACAAGGTCTTAGCACTCTTGTACTGACTAAAATGCGCGCGCTCAGCGGTCGGTAAGTGGCGGCGCACAGCAAGGCGAGCAGCAGCATCGCGCGTGGCCCACTGTGAGCGAACAGTGGCGTCAGCATCAGCAGCAGGGGCAGGAGAGGCACCAGAGGTGAGGTCAAACAGAGAGAGACCGTCTGCCCTATCGCACTGTAGGAAAAGCTGCAGATCATCTACCCAGACCTCAAAGTCAACAGCCCGACCCTTAGCGTCAAAGGTGAGAACACTGGGGGTGGCCATGACAGCAGTAGACTGGCAGAGAGAGCAGCGGGGTAGGGCAGCGCAGTGGCAGAGGCGCTGCTCTTACCAGGCAGGTGGGGCGGGCCGAGGCAGGCCGGCAGGGACAGGGCCGCGACTGCAGGGACTGCGGCGTCTCGGCTGCGGCGGCGTGGCGGCTCGGCGGCTCGGCGGCTCGGCTGCAGGGCGGCTCGGCGGCTCGGCAGCTCGGCGGCTCGGCGGCTCGGCAGCTCGGCGGCTCGGCGGCTCGGCGGCTCGGCAGCTCGGCGGCTCGGCGGCTTGGCAGCTCGGCGGCACGGCGGCAAGGGCGGCTCGGCGGCTCGGCGGTGACGGCGGCTCGGCTGCTCGACGGGGCCGGGAAGGGCGGCTGAGGGGCCGAGGAAGGGCGGCAGGGCCGCGAAGGGCGGCGACGGGGCCGCAAGGGGCGGCAACGAGGCCGCTGAAGGGCGGCGACGAGGCCGCTGAGGGGCGGCGACGGGGCCGCTAAAGGGCGGCGACGGGGCCGCGGAAGGGCGGCAATGGGGCCGCTGAAGGGCGGCGACGGGGCCGCGGAGGGGCGGCGACGTGGCCGCTGAAGGGCGGCGACGAGGCCGAGGGGAGGGGGGACGGCGACGGGGCCGCTAAGGGCGGCTACGGGGTCGCGGCTCGGCGGCGACGGGGCCGAAAGGCGCGGCGACGGGGCCGTAAGGGGCGGCGACGGGGCCGTAAGGTGTCAAACATTATATATGTTGTGTTAGTTTAGGCTACAGTGGGTTAGCCTATAGGGGGTACACAATTCTAGGGTTAGGTACTTGTACTCTTTTCATTGCTAGTTCATTCATTCCTGTTCAGTGATTCCAACATGGTATCAGAGCAGGTCCTTCCTAGGACCGAAATTTTCTAAGGGCCCACCACTACGTAACTACCTACCTACCTACCTACCCGTGCCCTAGGGCGCCTCGGCGTATCACGCCCCTAGAGGCCCCTCTTGACGACCCCGCGCTAGCCCCGTTCAGGCCCCGTCGGCCCCCTTTAAGGCCCCGTTCAGGCCCCGCGCTAGCCCCGTTTAGGCCCCGTCGGCCCCGTTTCAGGCCCCGTCGGCCCCACGCTAGCCCCCCCTCAGGCCCCGTCGGCCCCGCGCTAGCCCCTCTCAGGCCCCGTCGGCCCGCGCTAGCCCCGTTTCAGGCCCCGTCGGCCCCGTTTCAGACCCCGTCGGCCCCGCGCTAGCCCCTCTCAGGCCCCGTCGGCCCGCGCTAGCCCCGTTTCAGGCCCCGTCGGCCCGCGCTAGCCCCGTCTCAGGCCCCGTAGGCCCCGCGCTAGCCCCTCTCAGGCCCCGTCGGCCCCGCGCTAGCCCCATTCAGGCCCCGATCGGGCCCGCGCTAGCCCCGTTTCAGGCCCCTTCGGCCCCGTTTCAGGCCCCGTCGGCCCCGCGCTAGCCCCGTTCAGGCCCCGTCGGCCCCTTGCTAGCCCCGTCAAGGCCCCGTTTGGCCCCGCGCTAGCCCCGCTCAGGCCCCGATCGACCCCGCGCTCGCCCCTCTAGGGCCCCAACCGGCCCCGTGCCTACCTCGCCGACCCGTGCCCACCACCCAGAGGCCCCGGGCGGCCCGTTCCCGCCGCAGCACAAGAGGGAGAGCGGGCGGCCCGTCCCCGCCGTGGGGGCAGTGGGGGTGGTGGCTCGGCTGGAGGGGCGAGTGGTAGCGGTGGGGGTGGTGGCGGCAGCGGCGGGGGAGGTGGCAGGAGTGGAGGCGGCGGTTGGGGCGGCGGTGGACGAGGCGGCGGCAGGGGTTGGGGTGGTCGAGGAGGTGGCAGCGGTGGTGGTGGCCGTGGAGGCGCTGGCGGTGGCCAGGGCCAGCAGCACACTCTCTCGCCCCAGGAGGTCCGTGAGTGGTACTCTCAGCACGGGGGTGGGGGTGGTCTTAGCTGCACGTACGTCATTCGCACTGGTGACCGCTCTGGTCAGCAGTGTGGACGACCGCACGCCACTCAGCGCTGCTTCTCTCGTCTCGACGACGCTTGGCGTGTTCAGTTCCCTCAGGCCACTGAGCTGCCCCGCTGGCTTGATCTCCTGAAGAAGGGGATTGATATCTATGCTCTAGACTTTGATGCTATTCTATCTGCCATGTATGTGATGTCTACTAGTGGAGAGGGTGCTGAGTACTTGTGTGTGCCGCCCGACCCGGGCATTAGGGCCAGTGCGTCTGCCGCTCCAGGTACTCACGTGTCGGCTACCCCAGGTGCTGGTGAGGCTGCTGCTCTAGGTGCTCGTGTGTCTCCCCCCCTTGGTACTGCGTCGACTGCCGCACTGCACACCTTCACACTGGACTCAGGTGCTTCTCGCTGCTTCTTTCGTGACCGCACTGCCCTTGAGCCGCTTGCTCGACCAGTTGCTGTCTCCCTTGCTGACCCCTCTGGGGGTCCGGTCATTGCGACCTCTTCCACTGTACTTCCCTGCCCTGCGGTCCCGTCGGGCACACTGTCAGGTCTCCACCTCCCCTCGTTCTCTACGAACTTGGTGGCAGGCTGTGCACTCCAGGACGGGGGTGTTCACCAGTTCACCCCTGCCTACGAGCGCGTGACACACTGCACGTGTGCTCGTACGGGCCGTCACTTGGCTACCTTCACTCGGCAGCCGGGGTCGGACCTGTACACACTGACTACTGAGTCCCCTCAGGTTGCTGCGACTGCGTCCGCGTCCGCGTCAGGTCAGCTGTCCGCCCCCTGCTCGTGTCGCTCTTTGGCACACGAGACTGTCCTCTGGCACCACCGCCTTGGCCACCCGTCTGTGCAGCGGCTTCGTGCCATGCACTCCAGGTACCTTGTCTCTGGCCTGCCCAGGGTCCTTCCTCCCCTCCCACCCTCGCCTGCTCCTACCTGTCTCCCCTGTGTCGAGGGACGGCAGCGCGCCGCTCCTCACTCCTCCTCGTTCCCCCCGACGACTGCTCCCTTGCAGACACTCCACATGGACGTGTGGGGCCCAGCCCGCGTCCGTGGTCAGGGTCAGGAGAGGTACTTCCTGATAGTTGTTGACGACTACTCGCGCTACACCTCGGTCTTCCCCTTGCGCACCAAGGGTGAGGTCCCTGATGTCTTGATCCCTTGGATCCGCAGAGCCCGTCTCCAGCTCAGCGAGCGTTTTCACTCGGACTTTCCTGTCCTGCGCTTGCACTCTGACAGAGGTGGTGAGTTCTCCTCCGACCTCTTGGCAGCCTACTGTGCTGAGCACGGCATTGAGCAGTCGTTCACGCTTCCGGCTTCTCCACAGCAGAATGGGGTTGCGGAGCGCCGCATTGGCCTGGTCATGGAGGTCGCCCGTACCTCCTTGATCCATGCGGCTGCCCCCCACTTTCTGTGGCCGTTTGCGGTCCGGTACGCTGCGCATCAGCTCAACCTCTGGCCCCGTGTCTCCTTGCCGGAGACCTCGCCCACGCTACTGTGGACGGGGGAGGTTGGCGATGCGTCGCGTTTCCGGGTCTGGGGGTCTCGAGCTTTTGTCCGCGATTCGTCTGCGGACAAGCTCTCCTCCCGTGCTGTTCCCTGCGTCTTCCTCGGCTTTGTCCCGGACGCGTCTGGTTGGCAGTTTTACCACGCCACCTCGCGCCGAGTCTTGCCCTCCCAGGACGTCACTTTTGACGAGTCCGTCCCCTACTACCGCCTCTTCCCCTACCGCACTGCCCCGCTCCCCCCCCCGCCTCTCTTCCTCTCGCCAGGTGCTGCTGTTTCAGACCCCCTCCCCCCTCAGGGTGCCGCTCCCTCAGGTGTGTCTCAGGTAGACCCGGTTGAGCCTGTTGAGGTAGCTGTCGACTCTCGTCCTGCTGGGGGTGCTGAGCCTGGGGGTGCTGAGCCTGGGGGTGTGGAGCCTGGGGGTGTGGAGCCTGAGGGTGTGGAGCCTGGGGGTGTGGAGCCTGGGGGTGTGGAGCCTGGGGGTGTGGAGCTTGACGGTGCTGAGCTTGGGGGTGTGGAGCCTCGTGGTACTGAGCTGCGGAGTCCGGAGTCTGGGGGTTCTGCGTCTGGAGGTACGAGGTCTGGGAGTCCTGCACCTGGAGGAGCCCTCTCCTCGGAGCAGCTACGTGCGTGGTACTTAGAGTACTGCAACCTCCGGAGAGGTACCGCTCGAGCCGGACGTACTACTGGGACTGGTGCTAGTACTTCTTCTCCCGTTCGGGAGCTCCCCTCCCGCGAGCGGATCCGTGAGTGGTACGAGCGGCGCTGCACTCTTCGCAGTGGCGTGCCTCGTGTTACGAACCCCGCTGCTGTTGGAGCTGCTGCTGGTGCTGAGGACCCGGGCGTTGGAGCTGCTGCTGGTGCTGAGGACCCGGGCGTTGGGGCTGCTGCTGGTGCTGAGGACCCGGGCGTTGGAGCCGCTGCTGGTGCTGAGGACCCGGGCGTTGGAGCTACTGCTGGTGCTGAGGACCCGGGCGTTGGAGCCGCTGCTGGTGCTGAGGACCCGGGCGCTGGAGCTGCTGCTGGTGCTGAGGACCCAGGCGTTGGAGCTACTGCTGGTGCTGAGGACCCGGGCGTTGGAGCTACCGCTGGTGCTGAGGACGTGGGCGCTGGAGCTGCTGCTGGTGCTGCGGACCCTGGTGCGGGTGTCCCTGCTGGCTCTGGTGTCGCTGCTCGGTCTCAGCCGTACTTTGTTCCGCTCCTTCAGCAGGTTCTTGGTCAGCTTCCTCCTCCTTTTCCTCCTCCCTCCTTAGAGTGTCCTCAGCCTGTCCAGCTGCAGTCGGCGTTACCGTCTGCCTCCTCTCTCCTTGGTCCTGCTCCTTACACTGGTCCGACTGGAGGTCTTACTGAGCGGCGTGAGCCTGCGTCTCGTCCTGCGTCGCCTGAGTCTCGTCCTGGGTCGCCTGTCCGCACTGCTCTCTCTAGTCGTCGAGTCCAGCGTCAGCGTCTTCCTGCTGTCCCAGGCACTCACCGGATGGCGCTTCGTCCGTCCACTGCTCCACAGCGTGTCCCACTGCCGTCTCCTCCTGCTTCCTCTCTTCCTGCTCTTCCTGACCCTGGGTCAGACTCTCTTCGTGCTACCA